GCCCCCAGCGATTTTTATTTTTCAGCGCTATCCTTTTAGATTTTTTCAGTCTTCGGAGTAAAATTTCGCCTGGGGCTAAGTCGAGCGCGTTAGGGGGTGAGAAGCCGTTGTCATACCAGTGGTTAATTAACGCTTACCGGTCGTTTACGGGACTCATTCACCCCGTTCTGCTTTGGAGCTCATTTTCGAACCCTATCAGCAGTCGTACAAAGGTTGGCAGTATAGGAAGATAAACATGATTCACAGTGTGTTAGAGAGCTTGATTTCTACTCAACAGGTCGCAGGTTCAAGTCCCGGATGATGCATCATCCGGGACTGAGAATGGCTGGCTGATGACGACTAAAGTACCAGAAAGGGTCATTCCAGTTTCCCCTGCAGCTGTCGGCAATGTTCGTGATCATATCGTTTTCGCCAAAAGTACTGGTTGATTCTGAAAGCTGTATGGGTAGGCACGTTGTTACGATGAAACAACCGGTCCCCGATCACCACCATTTAGTTCGATTTTATCTCACTGCCCGACGCAATCGCTTCGGCATTTGTAGATAGTAATATGGGTTTACCGTAGGGCCATGAGGAACAAATTCAACATGATCAACCCCTTTTAGTTCGAAAAAAACTAACCACCGTGGACGTGTTGCTCCTCGCAGCTTGTCATGGCAAAATCGCCGAAAGCGGTGTGAAAGGGGTTTAGTAAAACAATCACGCTGTCCGCTTCAATTGGTTGTCATGGTAGCTAACTGAGAAAGTGAGCAGAAAGTGCCTACTAAACGTGACTAGCGGTTGAGGGAGGCCCTGCTAACCTACTCGCCTACGAAAATTAATTCTGGTCTTTCTGGTAACCTTTCGCTAGCAAATCAGAAACGACCGCTCCAGTCACCGCTCATTTTTCCTTTTAATGAAGTAAAAAAATATCGGGAAAGAAAAGCCGAAATGTATGCTTTAAAAAACTCGCAAATCACTACCGCTAATTACGACAAGAGGTTTGATTTCGGTGGCTCAATCCCTGTGTTTCATATTATCCCTTCTGCTTTCGTTCTTCAAACAGGGAAGTGGACAACGTAAAGTTCTTGTAAATCGCCAGTTGTTGGGAGGCGCGAATGCCTTCGACGTGCATACACGGGCACAAGCTAAGGTTACTGGGCGTAATGTTAACGGCTCACAGTCGAGGGTTTAATTTTATTGATCAACCTTGACGGGCAAGCCAGTCATCAAATCCGCCCATGAAGTGAAAAAGGGCAAATACTGGGACGGGCCAGCGATTGGATATGTGCAGACAAGACGGATAGGTTTTTGAACGCCTTGAAACTTTGTTAAACTTTCGAGATTAAAATCAGGAGTTTAATACAGGAATCACTCTGTCTGTCTTGGAATGCCTGGAGACTCTGCCACACTTTCGAGATTAAAATTGGGCGTTTAATACAAGTCACTTCGTTCGCTACTATTGCTTCTTATAAACGTTACTTAGCCACACAGGACGGGTAGTTCTTGGAACGCCTGGAGACCTAGTCACACTTCCGATATTAAAATTGGGCGTTTAATACAACATCCACTCTGTTCGCTGCTATTGTTTCTCATAGTTCTTGGAACGCCTGCAGACTTTCCCACACTTCCGAGATTAACATGGGAAGTCTAATATAACAATCACCCTGTCCGCTGCTATGGTTTCTCATAAACGCTACTTGGACAATTGAACAGGAAGAGCGGGCAGCAGTACCAACTTTACTGCCTGTAGAAAATAGTTCTAAGTTTTTTGAGTACTCCCTTATATGCAGCGACAGGTTGCAGTTGATGAGCTGCCACTAAATGTTGCTGCATGGACCTGCTAGTAAAACCAGAGCTGTCCCTCTTGTTGGTAAATCGGCTACCTGTCAAATCATACGCCATGTTACGAAGTCAAACAACAGAAGAAGGCTCTTCGCTTTCCCGAATAATGACTTTATTCGTCTGAGCTTCAGAACTCTTACAGGAGTCTATCGCCCACGCCAGAACCAGGACAAGCCGCAAATTGATTGAACTCTAGGCCTCTGATGAGAAGTCAGTCAATCGATTTATCGATCTGGCGCCGGCATACAGAGCTCTGCGCAGTCACCTCCGGACTGGCACTACTGGTGGTTGATTGACCCTATTGTTGCTTATTTTTTGATGCCGCTTTTATCTCAGATGATGGACTCCAGCAGGAGTTCGAAAACCCAGACGAATTCCGCCGAAAGAAGTCGTCTGGAATGCGAAAATTCGCCTCAATTCATCAAACACCAGAGACAATAATCAAGA